TTTAACACATGATACGGCTGTTTGATTATCATCTTTATTCAGATGACACCATCCCACGCTCATCAGAATCCATACAAACAAAATGCAACTGAGCAATATCTGCCTTGAGAATTACATTATCATGTTCGTTTGAAGATCTTCCATCTTTCATTCCATGGCGTTATTTGAGAAGACAAGACACGATACGTTTTCTTAGATTCGTACTAGATCCTGCCTCTCCACCATTGTTATAAAGCAAAACATCCCATTTAACAATTAGAAGTATATTCCCCACCAGATGTTCTGTGTTTGAACGATAATTGTAATAAAATATTAACGCTATTACATTTAATATAAACGTTTTCTTTTCGAAAATAACATGTATTTGAAATAGAAAATCATATAGAAAAATCATTAAATATGCCATGCACGCATTAATTTACTATAACCATACGAATAGCAGTTAAGTTAAAACGTATATAACATACCACACTCTCAGAAAAAAGGGCGAAAATGTGTACCTTTGCTTGTCACTGGCGCTGTACCCTTGTAATTGTACTTTTAACGTACAGAAATGTTCCTCAGAGCCCATTTCTGTACTTTAAAAGGTACAATTACCTACAGCTAAGGGTACAATTGGCAGACCCCTGAGGGTACAGCCCCAGTGACAAGCAAAGGTACACATTTTTACCCTTTTTTTCTGAGTGTACAAATCAAAGATAATCTTGAAATGCACGCTGAAGACGGGCACGTAGGACAGTATTAATCCACTTCAGTAGTTAAAAAGTGAATCATATGCTTTTCACCTTGATGACTTGTGCTGTTTGTTATTAAATTTGGGGCTTTTAATTTTGTTACAAACAGTAGGACCTTTCGGCACAGGCTGGGCGGTAGCCGGCCGCTTCACTGCCGACCAGTAATACGTCGATTAGTGGAATGACAGCGCACCTTTGTGCAGAATCTGCAGAAGATCTCTTCCCATTCCCACGCTAACTTCGTCCTCTCCATTAGCACTCAGGCAACGGAATACCTTCTCATTATTTCAGCAGCTATAGGAAACGGCTAGTTCCTGCCTGCGGAGCCTGATGAGGTAATACTGCTTCCCCGGGTCCCACCGTCACACGAACTATGTTGGGTTGTTTTAATGTATATTAAATAATTTCCTTTGGCAAGGAGTTTTTGTAAACGGGTGAGACTTAAACTAGTGTCTCCGTTTTGTCCAGGCACATTTAAACATATTAAAAACATTTGAATAACTGAACCTGCAATTCGTTCCCTTCTAGACTTTGTAATTTTTATTCAATTCTGTCCTATTCTGCCTACAATAAAAGTTTTTTTTTTGTTTAAAAACGCCCGTGATTTTTTTTACGCATAAAGTAAACCCATGGGTCTTCATTTTCGTCGGTAATCCAGATTTATCTATTATACAACTTAATACTACTGTGTTAACCTGAATATAACAATTTGATTCAGGCTGATTTTAAAAGCACCCTCACGGGGCAACTGCAGGCATTGGAACCACTTGCCCTGGTCAGTGTCAGAGAGGGCCCAGAGTCTGGGGGCTGGCAGCATGGGAGGCAAGGCTGGGGTCACCCAGGCGTAGATGCCAGCCTCTCACAGTGCACAAGCACAGTTATACTCTACAGGTAATTTAGAGACGCCAATTAGCCTACGGTATGTCATTTCTCACACAACACGGAGAGAACGTGCAAACTCCACACAAACAAAGCTAAACGAAGAGCCGCCGTGCCACCCTGAACCTGCCATCTTTAGGTTTTAATGTCAGATCATTAACCTTTAGAGTTTAGACCCTAATCTGCCTCTCCTGTAGTACCACCTCAGTCAATCAAACAAAATGTTACTTAGTATAGTGGAGTATTACAGTCAAATTGTCCAAAAATTCTTCACAATCAGTTACTGATATTTCACCAAAAGGGAGTGTTAAAAAAACATAAATAAAATATGGATCCTGCAGCAAACACTGCTTGGACCCCTACAAAGCCCAACATGGAAAATTAGGGAAAATCAAAAAATGAATCCGCTT